GGAGATATGGCCTGCCACCCTCAACATACAGAAAACCATATATGACAAACACACAGTTAACATACTCAGTGGTGAAAAGCTGGAAGCTTTTCCTCTGAGATCAAGTACAAGACAAGGATGTCCACTCTCAACACTACTATTCAAGACAACATTAGAAGTCTTAGCTAGAGCAATGAAGCAGGACAAACATAAAAGCAATTCAAATTGGGAATGAAGAAGTAAAACTATCACTATTTGCAGATGATATGATATGCCTAGAGAAAGTCATTACTGAAGAAATAGACCAAGAAAAAAGAATGTCATTCATTTTTGTCTTCCTTCATCCATTAATCAATAGAAGGTCTATTATTTGTCGGCGACACTAACTAAATAAGAAAACTAGCAATTACATTGAAGGTTGTAAAACACCTGGGGGACAACTAAGACACACGGGAGGATATGAAGGTTGGTTTCAGAAAAGACTCTGGGGACCTCCCTGGCTGTGCAAGGGGTTAAGTCTCAGCACAATGAAGCTATCTGCAGCCACTGCAGCACCAGTTCCATCCCTAGCCAGGGAGCTGACCCTCATGGCACAGTAGACCTCTCCTGTCTCACCAGCTGCTCCCCTCAGCAGTGTATTTCAGTAAATCTGCCTGTTCTGCTCCCCACTCTGTCTTTGGTAAAACCTCTCACTCCCCTGCATCTCTGGCCTGTACCCCAGTTCTTGGATGTATAAATAAATCTTTAAAAAGTTAAAACAGACAAGACTCTGGAGGTCTGAGCTGAGTCCTAGAGGATGAGGAGGCAATAGCCACATGAATTCCTGACAAATTATCCCAAGCACATGCCGACATCTTTTATGCTCATGGATTCTGTGGGTCTGCAATTTGGACAGGGTACAACAGGGATAGTATGTCTCTGTTCCATGGTGTCTGAGGCCTCCTCTGGAAGACTCTAAAACTGGAAAGAGAATAGTGTGAAGACCAGTTCATTCATATATCTAATAGTTGGAAGCTGGCTATTGGCTGGAGGCTTTAGTTCCTCTCAGTGGTCTGTCTGTTAAAGCTTGTTTATATTTATTCAGAATACAACGCCTGGTCCCAGGAGTGAGAACCCCAAAAAGAGGGAATAAGGGAAAGCTCTATTCTTTAAAGACCTACACTTGAAAGTCACACAGCATTATTCTGAAGTATATCAAAGTCCCAAAGAGCATGTGAGATGGGATAAATATTAGTGTGACCCTCTTTGGAAAATCCAATCATTCATGCCAGGCAAAGAGATGGAGACTAGGGAACAACACAAGGGATAACCCAGATGAGAAAAGTACAGATGGTGGAGTTTGGGTATTAGAAGGGCCTCGTGGTTAGTGTGGCAGGGGCTGGAGCAGTGGTTGACAACCAAAACACCTCCCTTTGCCTCCAATGGATTCTTTGCTTGTGGCTTCAGTGTGTGTTTCTCATGTCGTGGCATGATGACATTTTGGACTGGATAATTCTGTGCTGGAGGGGTGGCAGGGGCTGTTCACAAGCATAGTAAGATGTCTAGCAGCATGCCTAGGCCCTACCTAGATACCAGTAACCACACCCCTTGCCAATGCGCAGTTATGGTAACTGTTGAAGAACAGTAGAGAGATCTACTTGGGTTTATGACAAGCACCCCAACTAGCAGGCACAAAGCTCCTGCTGCAGCCACTCCCCATATACTGGGAGACTTCTAGACATCCATTCATTTTCCTAGAGGGCCCAGATTTTCACCTATGACCCCATGACCCTTTAGCCTTAGGCCTGGCAAACAGGTTATGCCCTAATTCACTTTTTTAAAAAAAGATTTATTTATTTTGGCATACAATAGCTGGGGTGTAGGGGAGAGGTGCTGGGGGGGGGGCGGGTGGAGGGTGAGAGGATTCACCAGAGACAGAGTGGGGAGCAGAATAGGCAGACTGACTGAAATACACTGCTGAGGGGAGCAGCAGGCAAGACAGGAGAGGTCTGCTGTGCCATGTGGGTCAGCTCCCTGGCTGGGGATCGAATTCTTGCTGCTGTGGCTGCAGATAGTTTCATTGTGCTGATACTTAACCCCTTGCACCACCTGAGAGGCCCCCTAATTCACTTTAAATTCAGATTGATTGTCTTCCATAGACAATACGCATAAGTTGATACATACAAGAGGATATAGGAAATATCTCTGCAAGGGCTTGTGCTAAATGAAAGGTTTTTATAGTTAGAAAGCATGTGGGAGGTGGTTATTAGCAAGGGAAAGAAAGATGATTTCAGGCAATGCCACATTAGTTCAAAGGAAGGGTTGGGGAGCATCTTACCATGCAGGGCCTCACTAGTGTCAATCAGGAAATTCTGACGGAGGAAGATGGCGCCATGCACTTCTGGGACATTTGGAGCAAGCACACCTGGGCTAAGTTTTGGGCTCAGTTGAAACCACAGTTAAGTTAGATGTTAAGCCTGGGTAGGGCCTGGCATGAAGGACTCCGTATTTTTCAATTTACAATTATAATTTTTTTTTCTATTTTTTAACACAATCGAAAGTATCACCAGGGAGAAATGGTTTCTCCATATCTGGCACACAAATAACAAGTTCTAAATAAGTGGTTGCTTAGAATGAATTGCATGTAGGAAAATGTCCCTCATCCAGAAGAATGCCCAGGACCACCTCTCTGAGAGCAGTCAGATCTGGGCTCCTTTACTCTACTTTTCAAGTCCATGCACAAGTGTCACTTCCACCATGAAGCCTTCCTCGATTGACCTCATCCCAGTTGTATAAGTTTCCCACTCAACCCTGACACCCATTAGTTTTTCTTTCTTTTATTTTTTTTATAAATTCTTTTTTTTTTAATTAATTTATTTATTTATACATACAAGCATTGGGTACAGTCAGAAGCGCAGGAGGGTGAGAGAATTCACCAGAGCCAGAGCAGGGAGCAGAGCAGGCAGAAGGACCGAAGTACACTGCTGAGGGGAGCAGCGGGCAGCAAGGGAAGTCTGCGCGCCATGTGGGACCCTCCTCCGATGGCCGGGGAGCAGCCGGGGATCGAACCGGCGCTGCAGAGGCTGCAGGCAGCTTCGCAACCCAGCACTCAACCGCTGCGCCACGGGGGAGGCCCCTCTTTTATTTTTTTTAAAGATTTATTTTATATATTTAAACAAGCACTGGGTACAGTCAAAAGCGCGGGAGGGTGAGAGAATTCACCAGAGCCAGAGCAGGGAGCAGAACAGGCAGACTGACAAAATACACTGCTGAGGGGAGCAGCGGGCGAGACAGGAGAGGTCTGCCGTGCCATGTGGGACCCTTGCCGGGGGCCAGGGATCGAACGGGCGCTGCAGAGGCTGCAGGCAGCTTCGCAGCCCAGCGCTCAAAACTGCTGCACCACCAGGAGAGGCCCCCCATTAGTTTTTCATCTTTGACACTAGTCATTTAGTGTCCTAAATATTTATACACATGTCTTATCTCCACTATTCACAAAGTACCAAGGGCTTTGGAAGAACTTTGGGACCATCTGTTTCCTCAGCCTACTGCTTTCCCCACAAAAATAATATTCTGTCACATTACATTTGACATTTTCTAGAGCATATATGAATTATGAAGGAAACTTTCCCAATTTGTATTCCTTTGCAATGTACAACCTAGGAATCATTTTCTTAATAATTATTGTGCACTTACGTGGATGGAACTAAAAGGAATTATGCTCAGTGAAATAAGCCAGAAGGAAAAAGAAAAATATCAGATGGTTTCACTTATAGCAGGAATATAGGGGAACCCAATAAGACATCAGTGTAAAAATATAATAACAGTACAAAACACAACAAAACAAAAACGGACAATTATAAATCAGAGACATACTGCAGGGGAGGAGGAAGGAGAGGGATCAGAGGGAGGGAGGGAGGAGCACAGGGGACTGAGGTGATGGTGCACGGGTGCATTGGGGAAGGAAACTTTATGGGGACTACACCTGAGGGGGTGGGAGGAAGCAAATATTGTTTAAAAATGAACAATGATGTAAAAAATTTAAAAAAATATATAAAAAATTATTGTGCATTTATCAGCGCTCAGGACCTAGCCAACAAACCTTTACATGGATTAACTCATTTTATTCTTCCCATAACCCTATGAAGTAGAAATGTCCTTATGTCCCATTTTACAAGTGACTCACCGAGAGATCAATTAACTTGCCCAATGCCCAGTAGGAAGATTTAAACCAGGCAGTTCATCCCCTGTCTGCACATTCCTAACTGCTGTGACCCACACTGGCCCTAAGCTCTTCCTAGACCTACACCCCATCCAGTTCCCAGCAAGACCACAGCCTCCACATTTTTCCTGCATAGAATTTCTCCAGCAGCAAGTGACTGGGTTGCTGTCACCAAGGACTGGGACCTGGGTTATGAATTCACTGTGTTGCCCAATCGCAGGCCGCATGCTTTGCACGAAGCAGGTTCATCATTTTTGTTAAATACACAAAGAGGGCCTCCCTGGTGGCGCAGGCTATTGAGCGCAGCGCTGTGAAGCTGTCCGCAGCCTTTGCAGCGCCGGTTCGATCAGAGGGCCCCACATGGTGAGCAGACCTCTCCTGTCTGGCCCGCTGCTCCCCTCAGCAGTGTATTTTGTCAGTCTACCTGTTCTGTTCCCCACTCTGTCTCTGGTAGATCCTCTCACCCTCCCGCACATCTGGCCTGTACCCTGGTCCGTGTATTAATTAATTAATTAACACATCTGGCCTGTACCCTGGTTCTTGTATAAATAAATAAATAAACACATCTGGCCTGTACCCTGGTTCTTGTATGCATGTATGTATGTATAAGTAAGTAAATAAGTAAATAAATAAGTAAATAAATAAATGAACGAAGAACGTAATGCTGGAAGTTCCTCCTGCGGTCTAACCCCTGGCCATCTGCCAGAGCCTATAGCCGGCCCCGCGCGCGGGAGCCAGACGCGGCACCTGCGGCCTTCGGCCACCAGGGGTCGCCGCGGCGCCGGGGAGACGGAGGGCGGAGCGGCCGAAGATCGCGGGCAGCATGTGGACGCTCGGACGCCGCGCGGCTGCCGGGCTCCTGCCCCGCTCGGCCCAGGCCCGCGCCGCGGCCCCGCAGCCGGTGAAGGGCGCCCGACCGCATTCCCGCCCGGGCTGGCGCGCCGGGAGCGCCGCCGCCTGCGCGCCCCGCCAGGCCGTGAGTACCCGCGCGGGCCGCGCGCCGGCGGAGGGAGTTGGGGGGGAAGCGCCGCGCACGTCCGGGGCGTCCCGGGCACGCGCCCCGCGCCTGCTCCCGCGGGGCCCGGGGCGCGCTCCGTGCGGCCGCGCGCAGGCTGAGCGCACCGCGACCCGGAGCCTGCGCGCGGCCCTGCAGCCCTCGCGTCCTTGGCTCGCGCTTACGCTGGCCCTGGCGTGTGCTTTGTGCTGCAAAGCAGGGGAAGTGGCATCCTGCCGTGCAACTGCAGAGGCCGGGGTCGGGGGTGGACGCAGTCTGCTCTGTGGGGCCAGCGGTCGTCTCTACGCTTGCCACGTCTCTTTTCCAGAACTTAAATTTAAGCAGTCAATATAGAGTAGGGACTGTCCTATGCATGCCTGTACTATCTGCAATATCCGGATGGGTTACGAAATATAGAAACGTAACAAAATCCTGTAGGTAGTATATATGTAATATCTGTGCAAGCCTCAGCTGCTGTGAACATGTTTCCTCCTGGAAGAGAAATGTCCAGGCCGCTCAGTCCAGTAGCTGGAGAGAAGCCCTTTTGGAAAGTGGCCTGCGCGGACTCCAGGCAGAGGCGTGGCTTCTTCCTTTTCTGGGAAGGGAAGATAAAGGGTAACCAACACCCTTTTTGCGGAGCTGCTGTGAGGGTTGAAGTAGATTCACTTATAAAGTGTCTCTTCGGCACTTATAATTCCACTTTCTTGCCTTGGGGTGCAAAATAATGTTTGTCCCAGGGACTCCACGGCCTGAAAGGAGGAGGCCCTAACAGTGACTGTGGGGTTGAGGAAGATTCACAGGAGCATGGGCCTGCTGTTTAACCGGGTTTTGAAGATGTCAGGAGAGCTAAGTGCGGTCCAGATGGGGAGAATGGCAGGGCGAAGGCCAGGGGGGAGGCTGCCTCTCTGTGTAGCTGGTGGCTGGGTGTATGAAGACAGCAGATGAAGATCGACACACATTTGGAACTCTGGAATTTGGACTTTAGCTTAAACTCCCCCACCTTTCACCCCCACATGTGATATTAGGCCCATACCATGTCTAGTAAGCTTTGGCATGGGTTGCCAACACTCCAAGTTGGGACCTAGATGATGAATTTCCCAGCTTCTTTAGAAAAATAGACAGGCCAAGCTGGTCTGGCATCCTTCTCTGTAGAAAGAGGACATTTATTATTTTTATTCCTTCTGAGCTGCTCTCCCACAGAGCTGCCAGGACCTGCACTTCACCCCTGCCTGTGTGGGTATGTGGATTGTTAGCAGTTTTTAATTTAGGAGACTGACAAGATGTGACATGGACTTTTGGATGGTACCTAGTGACTACTGTGGCTGAAGGCTTGTTGATTCAGAAGCATGTCCAGCTCAGGGCTGGCACCCAGTAGGTGGGCACTCAATACACAGTGGGATGGCTAAGTGGTTGGCAACCTCTGTGACCTTAGGCCTTTTCCATACTAAGTTAATCATGATCATTTAACCTCCCCAGCCCACAGTTCCCTTCCAGGCCTGCCATACTTGTTGGGCTGGGTGGAATGACAGTGGCAGCTCCGATCTTTGTCCTGTTTCATTCTTTTTCAAGGTCTTACTGTCCTCCTGTTGATGCCTCAGGACGCCTACGTTCCAAAATTCCTCAGGACCTGAGTTCATTTAGGGGTCTCTTCCCTCTCCTGATTTTCTGTACCTCTTACTTCTCATTCTACAGCAGCTATCCAAACAGACATAGAATGGCAACTACGTATATAATTCCAAATTTTCTAGCAGCTACACTGAAAACAGTAAAGAGAAACAGATGACATTAATTTCAATAATATATTTATGTAATGATAGTATATCCAAAATATTATCATTTCAACATGTCATCAATACTGAAAAACAATTACTAGATATGTTACATTTCTTTTTGTGATCATTCCTCCAAATCCAAATCCACTTCCAGCTAATGGCAGTTCTGATGTTAAATTTTTAGCAAAATATATTAGATTTTATGAAATTCACAAATGAAAAGGTTAATTACACACTCAGGATGTTTCGAATACTCTTAAATTTTACAATAATGTTATTTTTTAATTTTAAAAATTAAGTAAAGCTTGGGCCTCCCTGGTGGCGCAAGGGGTTAAGACACAACCTATGAAACTACCTGCAGCCTCTGCAGCACGAGTTCTATCCCTGGCCAGGGAGCAACCCACATGGCGAGCAGACCTCTCCTGACTCGCCCACTGCTCCCCTCAGCAGTGAATTTCAGTCAATCTGCCTGTTCTGTTCCCCACTCTGTCTCTGGTGAATCCTCTTACCCCCCCCACCTCTGGTCTGTACCCCAGTTCTTGTATGCATAAATAAATCTTTTAAAAAATTAAGTAAAGCTTAACATCCAATTCCTGAGTCAGTTTCAAGGGTGTAAGGGACACGCCCACAGTGATAGCTCCAGAGTAGGGCTGTGCAAATCAGTGAGGCCCCTGGGGATCCTCATCTGAAAACAACTCCAAGTCTTAGAAGCCTTGCTACAGGGAGTTTTTCTCCCCTTCCTCAGAGCCAGCCTTTCTGTACCCCTATTTCCTCCTCTGTTCACCTCTCAGCCCTGTGCTCTCTGCCTTCTTTTTTCTGAGCCTGCAGGGAGAGAGGGGCACTATGGCCTAAGAGAATAACTGACAACCTCTAACCCCTCTCCTAGTGACAATCAGAGAACCTCTGGAGAATGTAAATCTTACCATAAACCTCATAAAGCCCCTGATGCCTCTCCAGGATAAAATCCAATAGTTTGCCTTCAAAGGCAGCCAGCCTCTCTCCATCACCTGCCTTGCTGTCTCCACTCTGTCTCTTTCACTTTTTTCTCTTAAGGGGCTCCACAGCTCTCACCTGGGGCAGGTCCCTCTGCCAGAGCCCCCTCTCTGGCTTTCTACTCGCTCTCCTCCCATGATTTCATCTGTTTATCCACCTGGGCAGTAGCACTCACAGGGATCAACTCAGATCCATCTCCTGAGAGCTGGGCGCCTGGACACTCAAATAAGGAGGAAACCAACATGGTCATGCTGTCTCCTGCAGATCAGGTTGGGAGGACAATAGCCTGCAGTCAGAACCTCTCTCCTGGACATCAGCAGGCTTCTGCCTCCTCTACTTTTTACTTTTTTTAGTCAAATTGTAGGAGCGTAGTTGATGCTTTGCCTCTGCTCCTGGCATAACCACTACATACCACGAGCAGCCCAGAGCAGTCCTTCTAGTAGCTTCCATTGTGGTAGACTTGTTCTGTGTGCAAATAGCTGCATGAAGCCACAGGACACTTGACCTATGGCCAGTATTACTGAGGGACTGACTTTTTAATTCATTTCAGAAAATTTAAATAGCTGCCTGGAGAACTCAAAGTAAGATTCTGAAGAAATATTCCTGCAAAGCTTTAACACGGTTACTCTTTTTTTTTTTTTTTTTTTAGAGGCATGTATTTTTATTTATTTGTTTGTTTGTTTGTTTATACAAGCACTGGGTACAGTCAGAAGCACGGGAGGGTGAGAGAATCCACCAGAGCCAGAGTTGGGAGCAGAGCAGGCAGAAGGACCGAAGTACACTGCTGAGGGGAGCAGCGGGCGGCAGGAGAGGTCTGCGTGCCATGTGGGACCCTCCACTGGTGGCCGGGGAGCAGCCCGGGATCGAACCGGCGCTGCAGAGGCCGCGGGCAGCTTTGCAGCCCAGCGCTCAACTGCTGCGCCACCGGGGAGGCCCTGACATGGTTACTCTTGAATACAAAAGTGGTGATGTTTAAACTGTGCATTAAGGGACTATAATTACTGAAAAATGGTAATGTTCTTAATTTTGGATTTTAGAATTTAAGCCTCCATTGCCTCAACCGAATTCTGAATGTCAAAAAGCAGAGTGTCTGTCTGATAAATTTGAGGACAACTGGAACTTTGAGGGACCCTGGGTAAGATAAAACACCTTCTCTATCTGAAATCACTTCCCCCTCCTCTCCTGCTCTTCCCCCCTTATATTACACAGCATATACATACATATACACACTCCTAGTACACATTATTTTCAATGAAATACTAAATTTTATGAATGTACCATAATTCATTTACCCCTTATTGTTGGGCAATTATGTTGTTTCCAGAATTGTGTTATTCTATTTGATATCTTAGTAGCTACAGTAGGCCAAGCTTCTATAACAAATAGACCCACAAATGCAGTGGCTCAAACTGTAGTGGTTTTGTGTCCCCTCTCTATGGAAATCCAGACTGTAATCGCCCCTGTGAAATGATGACAGGAGGCGGCTCCCTCTACCTTCCAGCTTGGCTATCACTATGTCTTCCTGTCCTCTGCATGGTCAAGGCCAGGTCACCCTGTCCAGGTTCCATTTGGCAGGAAGACACAGGCGCAGGGAAGGCCTGGGGGTATCATTTTACCTCCAATTACATTTAGTGGGTTACGTGTGGTCCCATGCACCCAGCTCCCTGCAGTGATGCTAGAAAATGTAGTGTAATGGGTGCCCTAGAAGAAGGGCCAAAGGGTGCCAGGCACTGCAGCCATCTACCCTCTGCCACCGATACTCACATGGACCTCCTTATACACACACGGGGATGGACAGATGGAAAGGAGCACCATAACTGCTACACACTCCCATTCAGAAAAGAGACGTGTCCGTGGCCCATGAAAGCAACAGAGACCCTCTGGGCAGCACTGGGACAATCACCGTCCTGGGAGAGGGGACCATCCCTCCACAAAACTCCAGTTCTGCGCCCTGGAGGTGCCCCCTGGTTTGTCACCTCTGTGTCCCTAGGGTGGCGAGCAGTGGAAATATACCCTTCTGGGAGAAAGCAGTCTTGCCACCCACTTCCTGCTGCTGGCAGGTTTGTTCCAGAGGCTGACTTCAGCTCTGGTAGGGCAGGCTTATTTGTCTTTGATAACAGAATTTTCTCAAAACATTTATTAGGCTTCTGATCTCTTAAGTCCCAGTCAGTCCCACTGCCAGTGACCACAATCAAATTTCTGCTCTGCATAGGAGCCTCCAGCTGCCTTCTTTCTTTGCATCCTCACCCCATGCCCAGCCCGCTCATCCTAAGGGCAGAAACATTGACTGGGGACCAGCAACCTGAGTTTTGCAACAGGAATGGAGTCTCTTTTTTGGCTTAATGACAAGGCTTTGTTCTTCAAAGTCTTTACCTCTGCCTTTGCTTTCCCATCTCTCTGCTAGTGCTATATTCCATCCCCCTGCTGATGTGCCAGATTGCTCCTGCCTCATTGTTTCCATGTCACACCTGCAGCACAACAGCAAGAGCCACCCCTTCACGGGACATTCTGACTGTCCCCAGAGCCACAGGCTTAGTAAGCGCGCTTACTAGGCCTCTAGGTTAATGCAGAAGCAGGTGGACAGTGGCCTTGCAAGCTTCCGACAGCAGTGTTTGTGTTCATGGGCCCCTCCACGGCCTCTTGGTGCTAGGGCTGCATTGGCATAGGGTGGGGTTGTCCTCTGGTGGCACCATTTCCAGACTCCCCCCTATACAGACTGTTGGGTGTTGCCCCACATCTCTCCAAGCGGTCCTTTTTTTTTTTTTTTAAGATTTGGGTTTTTTTTTATGCATACAAGAACTGGGGTGCAGGCCAGAGGAGCAGGGGGTTAGAGAATTCACCAGAGACAGAGTTGAAAGCAGCACAGGCAGACTGACTGAAATACTCTGCTGAGGGGAGCAGCAGGTGAGACAAGAGAGGTCTGCTGCGCCATGTGGGTCACCTCCCTGGCTGGGGATTGAACTTGTGCTGCAAAGGCTGCGGATAGCTTCATAGTGCTGAGACTTAACCCTTGCGCCACCAGGGAGGCCCCCAATCAGTCCTCTTTAGGTAGGACCCTTGCTGGATGCCCTAAGTGCAACTCCATTTTCAGGGTCTGCCTCTGGCCTCTGGGAACCGTGACTGGTGGCAGAGGACAGCCAGCTTCAGCCATGGCTCAATCCTCTGCAGTTAGGAAGCACCCACAAAGTTCTTTAGACTTGAAACCAGAGTCAGGTGTGTCTGTGTTTACCCCAAATGCCTGCAGGCACATGTCACCCTCTCCTCCAAGTTTTCTCCAGTTCACCCTTCACTGGCTGGGATGGGTCCTGCAGCCTTCCCGGAGTTGTGCCCTTGAGGGGGGTGATGGGCTAGGTGGGGAGGGGTGGCACATCTTCTGTCTTGCATTGATTATCTAGTCACCACTGATAGGTTACTTTAGGCCTCTTAGAAACTCTCAGATGATGCAGTAGTCTGGGTTACATCTTGTCATCTACAGGTAGATGCCCAAAGGGCTCTAAAACCCATACATGGATATTTATTATAGCAAAATGTCTTTTGTTATCATTCATATACATAAATTTTACCACTTAAAAATATACCATTCAGTGGCTTTTAGTATGGTCACAAGATTGTATGACTTTCTCCTGTAACTAATCCAGAACATTCTCATCACTCCAGTTAAAACCCCGTACTTGTTAACATCCCCCCACCCTGTCTCTGGCTTTATAATTTTTAAAAACTGAAAAATAGGGCCTCCCTAGTGGCACAAGGGGTTAAGCACAGCACTATGAAGCTATCCACAGCCACTGCTACAGGAGTTCAATCCCCAGCCAGGGAGCTCTACACATGGTGCAGCAGACCTCTCCTGTCTCACTTGCTGCTCCCCTCAGCAGTGTATTTCAGTCAGTCTGCCTGTCCTGTTCCCCACTCTGTCTCTGGTGAATCCTCTCACCCCCTGCCCCAGCAACTCTGGCCTGTACCCCAGTTCTTGTATGCATAAATAAATTTTAAAGAAAAAAAACCTGAAAAATAGTGTGTATATCCAGGAATGTCTCCAAGTCATGTATCTTTGATAACTTTTCGAAAGATGAGCAGACCATGCAACTCAAGAAATACTGACAGAATGTTACCAGCCCTGAAAGCAAGCCTCCTGCTCACTCTAGTTATCTAGAAACTAGTTAACTCCTGCCCCCACCCCAGAGTAACTGCTTCAGTTAGCTTTGCTTGGATTTTTACTTTATATAAACCATATTGTGAAATATAAACATGTTTGTATGTGACTTTTCAGTCACAATATTGATGTGATATTGGTCTATATTTTTAAATTTATATGACACAGGGATTAACATCTCAGTGCTGTCAAGCTATTGCCAGCCACTGAGGCATGAGTTCAATCCCCGGCTGGGGAGCTAACCCACATGGTGCAGCAGACCTCTCCTGTCTGCTCCCCTCAGCAGTGTTTTTCAGTCAGTTCGCCTGTTCTGCTCCCCACTCTGTCTCTGATGAATTCTGGATGCATAAATAAAAAATAAATCTTTGGAAAAAAAAGTATAAAGCCTACCTATGCTAATATGAAATAATTTCCAAGACATATTAAATAAAAACTACAAGGTATTTCATTTGTATATGAAAAAGAATATAAAATCCTGGAGGAGACTTCCTTCATAGTTGCTCTGGATAGGGACAGCCTATTTGGGAAGAAGGGCTCTCTCTTTAAACCCTTTCATGCTTTACTCTGTGCTTGTTAGATATTTGCTATAGACTTAAAAAATGTGTTGATGTTAATAAAGTGGAACAGTTTCACAATGTATGTTTTTGATCGTTTTGTGTTTCTCCTGCAGTTCTCTAGATGAGACCACCTATGAAAGACTGGCAGAGAAGACACTGGACTCCTTAGCAGAGTTTTTCGAAGACCTTGCAGATAAGCCTTACACATTTGAAGACTATGATGTCTCCTTTGGGGTACTTCTTTGCTTATTTTCATTTTTCTGTTCTCTCCCTAAGAATTTTAGCTCAGAGATTTCCCCTCCAGCAGAGTTAAACAACCAGCAGCAAGCAGTTATGGGTGGGACCAAAACACCAGGGTTCTTGTCCCATACCAGCTCCATCAGGCTAATGATGTTGAGTCTCTCACTTAGCCTCTTTACACATAACTTCTGCTTAAAAATACAGATTCTCAAGCTTCACTGAAAACCCATGAAGGCTAGTCAGGGAGGGACCTAGTCTATGTTGTCTCGTCTCGCAGGCATGGGAACACTGCACGGACTGCTAGTTCTGAGCACAGAAGAGATATAGTCCAAGAGGTATTCAGACTACAGACTCCACGCCCACTCCCGGGAGGTTCTGATGAAGTGCTCAGGATGCATACTTTTGGAAAGCTCACTTAGGATTTTAATGTGGATCTGAGTTCCACCCCCAGAGATTTTGATTGAACTGGTCTGGGTGCGGCTCAGGTATTGAGGGTTTTCAAATCACTTCCCAGGTGATTCCAGTACGCAGTCTGGATGAGAACCTCTGGGCTGGATGAAATTTGAGTCCCAGTTCCGGAAGTCTAGGGAGTGCTGTTCTTTATCAACTGGCCACTGGGCGGCAGAGTTGAGCAAGGATCCACCTATGAATTTAGAATTTCTGTCTATGCCTTAAGGAGCAACTTTTTTTCCCCAGTGGCCAAAAATCCCCCACAGAGGGTTAATCCTCTTCATAGCAATTAATATCAGGAAATGTAATCAAGTGTGCATCTTGGATTAAATCATGGAATTATTGAGGTCTGGCTAAAGAAACAGAAATGGTGTTGGCTATTGTTGTGTGGGTTGCTGGAGAGAAGGGACCCCTCAGATGTAGCAGCCAGCACAGTCTTAGAGGTGTCAAAACTGTTTGTAAGGACAGAGAAGAACTTGGCGGTAAAAATTGAGGCGGTTGAGCGCTGGGTTGCGAAGCTGCCCGCGGCCTCTGCGGTGCTGGTTCGATCCCCGGCTGCTCCCCGGCCACCGGAGGAGGGTCCCACCCGGTGTGCAGACCTCTCCTGCCACCCGCTGCTCCCCTCAGCAGTGTACCTCGGTCCTTCTGCCTGCTCTGCTCCCCGCTCTGGCTCTGGTGAATTCTCTCACCCTCCCGCGCTTCTGACTGTACCCAGTGCTTGTATAAACAAACAAACAAATAAAAATACATGCCTCTTTAAAAAAAAAAATTTGAGGCAATGGTACAAAAAAGGGGTTGAATGCCTGCCAGGTAGATTTCAGGGCAGGACTTTAGAGATGCTTGGGAATCACAGCCTCGCCAGCTTGATCAGCTGAGGGGTGAGCAGACCTGGGGAAGTCACAGATCTCTGCCCCAGCTTTCCCATGGGGAAAGAAGACTTGGGGAAACCAAGTCTCTGGCCAAAGTGCACACTTGCAAATATTTATTAACATGCCACAAAGCCATTGCACACCTATTTCTATTGATCAGTGAAGCCTAGCTTGACCCAAGCTCCTCACATGAATATCTCATTAGAAGCAAAGGTGCCAGAATTCTAGCGCTTGGACTGTATTTACCTCACTGAATCAAGCAACAAAAAGCTCTGCTCAGTTGGGGGTCGCAGGCCCTTACCTGATCCGACCTTCATTCTATAACACGTTCCTGCAAGAGAAGAGGCACCTATTTTCCTAGCCAATCCATATACTTTGAATATAATTGCACTCACCCAGGCAAAGTGATTTCTTTCTTTTTTTTTTTTTTAAGATTTATTTATTTGTTTATACAAGCACTGGGTAGTCAGAAGCATGAGAGGGTGAGAGAATTCACCAGAGCCAGAGCAGGGAGCAGATCAGGCAGACTGACAAAGTACACTGCTAAGGGGAGCAGAGGGCAGCAGGAGAGGTCTGCGCGCCATGAGGGACCCTCGCCCAGCGGCCGGGAACCGAAGAACCGGTGCTGCAGAGGCTGCGGGCAGCTTCGCAACCCAGGGCTCAACTGCTGCGCCACCGGGGAGGCCCCAGGCAAAGTGATTTCTAAGAAATCTTCACATCTCTAGTGCAGATGTGGAAAGCTAAAGGCACAGAGCAGCAATTTGTATAACTTGGACTTCTGATTAAGTACTTTGAAATGCTGTTTACCCTGGACTATAAATTCCTTGAGAATCCTCTCAGTGCTATCTTATATATTGTACATACAAGATAAATCAACTGAAAGTGCATTATAAACAACAGAACACCTGTAACACTGTCACTTGGACTTTGCTGGAGTACAGTCTTTCCCTGCCCTCAGCATCCAGTGGGATCTAGCCTTGTCCACGAAGCCTTTCTCGATGCTCCGGGCAGATACCACCCTCCTCCCTTACCCCACACTGAGGCTGACTTTGTGGAGCACTGGCTGCCCTGTGCTGTAACTCTCCATTTACACATCAGCTCCCAGGCTGGACTGAGCACCTTTGCACCAGGACACTGTCCATTCTCGGTATCCCAGTGCCTGGAACAGCACCAAGTACATAGCAGAGATTTTTTTTTTAAATATTTATTTATGCATACAAGAGCTGGGGTATAGGCCAGAGGTATGGGAGGTGAGAGGACTCACCTCCCAGACAGACTGGGGTGAGAGAGTGGGGAGCAGAACAGGCAGACTGATCGAAATACACTGCTGAGGGGAGCAGCAGGCAGGCCAGGAGAGGTCTGCTGTGCCCTGTGGGCAGCTCCCTGGCCAGGGATCGAACTCATACTGCAGTGGTTGCGGACAGCCCCATAGGTTGCGTCTTAACCCCTTGCGCCACCAGGAAGGCCCCATGGCAGGGATTTGGTTACATGTTTGATTCACTACACTAAGGAAATGGGGCCCATATCCTTTTCCAAACACACCTTCATTGATGCCACTCGGCCTTTATATCTGTTTTACCAGCTTGCTACTAGCCAGGTAGGCAAAGGAAAGCAGTAACCCAAGAATGTGCTTGTTCTGTTTTCTCCCTGTAAAGCGGGAGAGTTGAGTAGCTTCTTGCATCCTGTGGTCCAGTGGGATGGGTAATGGTGCATGTCAGTGTGGGGGTCCAGGCCTAGCCAGTAAAGAGGACTGTCCCCCAGTGCTGAAAGTACCTCCCATCGCTAGGTAAACACAGAGTCCACTGCACTTGACCCCAAAGGTCTGACTGGAGACTGTGAGAAGCACCAGCTGTTTGAAGAGTTGCCTGGAAGCCACCTTCCTTTTATTCCAGGTGGAGCCCAGTCCTCCTAGAAATTTTTTTTTTTTTGAAGATTTATTTATTTTAATACAAGAACTGGGGTATAGGTCAGTGGCGCGGGAGGGTGAGAAGATTCACCAGAGACAGAGCGGGAAACAGAACAGGCAGACGGACTGAAATGAAGTACACTGCTGAGGGGAGCAGCGAGAGAGACAGGAGAGGTCTGCCGCACCATGTGGGAATCTCCCTGGCCAGCAGGAATCAAACTCACGCTGCAGAGGCTTCGGACAGCTTCACAGTGCTGCGCTCAACCTGCTGCGCCACCTGGGAGGCCCCTCTTAGACATTTTAATGAGAATTGCTTGCTGCCTTGTCCTTCCTTCACTAACTTGACAAGTAACTGCCATAAGCACAGCCTATTTTAAGATCAGGATCCCATGTAAGAATCTCTGGACCTGGGAGCCTCCCTGGTGGCACAGGGGTTGGGTCACAACACTGTGAGCATGAGTACACAGCCACTGTACTGCAGCCACTGTAGCATGAGTACAATCCCCAGCCAGGGAACTACCTACATGGCGCAGCAGGCCTCTCCTGCCTCTCTGGCTGCTCCCCTCAGCCGTGTATTTCGGTAGATCTGCCTGTTCTGCTTCCCACTCTATCTCTGGTGAATCCTCTCACTACCACCCCCACCCTGGCCTGCACATCTGGCCTATACCCCAGGTCTTGTATACATAAATAAATCTTTAAAAAAAAAAAAAAAAAAGAAAGAATCTCTGGGCCTGGGAAAAGATTTCCCCACCCACTGACAAGTATAATTTCAGCTTCAAGGTAGGGACTGTTTGCAGACCCCTGAAGACTCTCTCTGGATCCTGGGTTATGACCTCCCTGCTCAGGGGCATCATTTTGTTGGATGTGGAGACAGGGTCTGGGTTAGCATCCTAAATTTGTATTTTCTTTCTAACACTCCCTAAGTGAATTACTTGCATTTTGTGAGCAGCTGGTTCTTCAACTATTAAGTGGGTGACATAAGCCTCAACTTCTCCAGATTTTACTTTAGGACTAAATAAAACAAAAAAAAAAGTGCTTCAGATGCATTATATTTATTCCATAAGGGAAAGTCAGTGTTTAATATTAGGAGTGTGAGAAACCACACACGTGAAATCCTCAGACTGCATGTACTATCCCATATGTGTCTGTTTCTCCAAATGAGTTGGCAGCAGCAAAAATCACTGTTTTTGCTCCCATTGTGTGCAGGGCTGCTGTTGACTGGCAGGATCAACAGCTGTGGCCAGGCTCTGTTCTCAGAGGTTAATGCCCATGTCTCAGCAGCTGCTAAATATTTTGACTATCTCCCTCCTCCTCTTGCCCCCGCAAGTTTACCCAGGCACCTAAAATAGACTCAGGTTGGGCCTCCCTGGTGGCGCAGCGGTTGAGCGCTGGGTTGCGAAGCTGCCCGCAGCCTCTTGCAGCGCCGGTTCGATCCCCGGCTGCTCCCCGGCCACCAGAGGAGGGTCCCACATGGCGCGCAGACCTCTCCTGCCGCCCGCTGCTCCCCTCGGCAGTGTGCATCGGTCCCTCTGCCTGCTCTGCTCCTCGCTCTGGCTCTGGTGAATTCTCTCACCCTCCCGCGCTTCTGACTGTACCCAGTGATTGTGTAAATAAATAAATAAATAAATAAATAAATAAATCTTTAAAAAATAAAATAGACTCAGGTTGCCCCTTAAGGAAGAATAATAATAATGAGCAAAATACCCTCTTGATCTGGTCCACTTGCAGATAGTGTCAAGCGCATAGCATAAAGAATTGTTAGGGGGAAAAGGATGTCCCAAAGCAAATTCCATATAGGCTTTGTGGACTCCACCCCCACCCCAGGTCAAAGCCAAAGACACTGGGAACTCCAAATCCCATCACCACCAAAGGGAAGGTGGCTGGGACCTGAGGGTGGGGTTAAGCAGCCAGGTGGATACAAAAGGCAGACACGTGGGCTTTGGGGGTCTCTCCATTTTTGGGCTCTTGGCCAGCAGCAGCGTCCGGCCAGCTCTGAGAGTGCCTTTGGGTTTCCAGGTCGTCGGATCGGGTAGGACGCATTAAAGACTTTATTTCCCTATTTTCTCCCTGAGTTGTACATTTTCCTTATTTCCTTTTCTCTTGTAAATAAACCTTTTATTAAATTAACCCTTTTGCATGTGTCTGTAGTAGAGTATTCATAAGTCTCTTTAAAGCGCGCGGGTGAGGACCCACAGCCAGGAACCCGTTTAATATCGGGGTTACTCTATAACAGAACCAGTGAGGCAGAGCTAAGAAGGCAGTTGGGAAGAGTTTCCTTTCTCCTCTTGCCACTTTCCTTGGGAAATGGCTTCAAATACCAATGGGGGAAAATCTCACTACACTGAACAGGGGCAGGGGTGGTGGAGGTGGGGGTGGGCAGCAGTTGAGTGTTGAGATTGTCTGCCTTGCGCTTAACCTTGGCACATGTTATCACAGTGCCTGGTTGGCATCCACTCCCTTAATTCATTTGCAAATATGGTTTTTGCATTCATTCAGTATTTTGCAGGGAGAATGGATGTGCTAGGATGAAAAGACAAATCTGTTTTCCAGGAGCTTCAAGCATTAGAAGGAAGGGGGCAGGTGGCCCATAAATAAGCCAGCAAGTCAGATGTAGCAAGGACAGTACAGAGGCTGTAGGGACATGTGCAGGTCTTGGTCCCAGCTGAGGGGCAGCAGAGTGGCCTTCCCAGAGGCACCTGAGCTGCCTAGGAGGAGCTGCGTGTCTTGTGCGGGTACAGGGTAGTTGGAGCAGGTGTCAGGTGCAGGACACAGCTTGAAACTGAGTTCTGGAAGTCTTCTCATGGTTCTCTCATTAATATGTTCTTCAAGTTTCGGGGTTGGGAAGATTGGATTTTGGCTTTCAGCAGATGTACCACCCACCCCAGATTTGGCCTCCTGTTCTAAGGTGTGATGGTGATCAGGAGCTGGTACAGAGCCCGTAGAAACCATCAGCCCCTCGTACTGAGTCCCTGGAGAAGGCAACTCGGATGTCATCCTGAGGATGGGGTGCAATAAATAAGACTCAACCTAGAACCCACATCTTTAGACCCAGCTCTCTGCCCTTTCCACTGCATCCTATCACTCCCCACATGAGGGTATAACGCACTGTGGGGCATTTAAGGACCACAAATAGTCAAATTAGAAATGTGCCTTCATTCCCTGAATGTGGCATCTCATGAAAAAATAAGGCATGTAAAAGTATTATGGGGGGAGGAGAGGATGGAGAGTGGCCGCTGATGAGTGCAGGGTTTCCTTGTGGGGTGGTAGAAATAGTCTGGAATTAAACAGTAATGGTGTTTGCACCTTTATGTTGTTTTTATACTAAAAACTGCAAAACAAAATTTCTTAGTTTTAAGAAATTTTTAAATCAATGAGATGTAGTTTTACCAAAATAGTAAACTTTCAGGGGAAAAAGAAAACAACTCGTATATACTATGATCCAGGCCCATTTTTAAAAATGCATTTAAAAACCAGCAGCCAGTACCCGAGTGTGAACAGTTCATGTTATTGAGAGAGTGGGATCTCTGAGCCCAAACAGACCTGGGTTTAAGATCAGCTCTGCCAGTTACTAAGTAGTCATTATCACTCCTTCTGTTTCCCTCACCTGTAAAGTTGGGATAATGACCCCTACCCCCATGTGGTTCCCATGGAAACAATTACACAAAGGGCCAACACAGTGCTGCCTCTGAATAGGTACTGAAAAATGGTTTATATTTTCTGTTGATGCTTTCATTTTATTTATGCTTTCTGAATTCTCAATATCTCTATAATTTCTCTGCATTTTTTCAATCAAAAAAATGGTTTTTTTCACTCAATTATGCCCTCCCTATCCCACAGCTATCAGTTATATTACTATTAGGACTTTCCCCCTCCATTTCAAAGGTTTTCGTGTTTGTGAAAGTGTGTGTAAGAATGATTCAGGGCCCCACAATTGCATGGGGCTTTGGGGGGCACAGAGAAAGGCTGCCACATATCTGCCGCTTATAGTAAAGAGGGCTCTTTCCTGCTCACCAGTCCCAATAAAGCTAACTTAGCTGTGTAGCTGTTTCTTTAATATCCTGTGCATTCTGAAGACCTAAGGCCTGGGGAGTAAAGGCCTTCTTTGTTGAAAGGGTGTTTTCAAATTTAAATGAGCATTTATTGAGCAAAAAAGTCCTAAGGGTCTTTGAAGAATTCAGATTCTATAGAGGAAAATAAGCTGGAGTGGAGAGGCTGAGGAGCTTAAGAGATGCCTGGGAAGGGTTTGGAAATAAAAAGTCTGGTCTGGAAAATCTGTCTTCTACCAGCAGAGCTGGTTACTGCAATGCAGGTGATTTGCTTACTGCTTTCCTTCTTACTTTTTTCCTTTTATTTGTAATGAACTTGTCATCTCTATGTTTTAGGCTTATTTGTACTCTGGTAGTGTCGGTGCCTATATTTTCCACCTTCTACTATAGGTTCTGGCTGGTAGTGGAGAGAAGCAATACAGAGTCCTCATTTGGCAGCAATTAGATTTCAGAGGATCCCAAACATCGCCCAGGGTTTCTGTTTCCTTGTCTCAAAACAGCAAGTGATCATTCTCACCTTGCTGACTTCAGAGGGAACTGGGGAAATCACAGCCACCTCGAAGATCTTTCGGGTTTGGTTCCAGATCACTGTAATAGAACAGATATCATAAAAAAATTGAGCCACACAAAGCTTGTTTCCCAGTGCATATAACTTCCGTTTACATCATATTGTAGTCTATTAAGTGAACAATAAGAGATTGTGTCTAAAAAAAGAACATACTTTAATTTAAAAATACGTTACTGCTAAATGATGCTAACCATCATTTGAGATATTAGAAAAATGGCACCATCAACTTGCTAGGTGCAGGCAGGTCACAAACAATCGATTTGTGAAAAACACAGTATCTGCAAAGTTCAAGAAAATGAGGTACAACTGCATTAGTGTGACTAATCATAGTCTGATTCTGAGAACAATCTTCTGTTTACATAATCTCTTATTTCTAATCACTAAATTAAAGACATTCCTTTATGGTGTTAGTGTGTACCTGTATACTTGGAAGTGTTGAAATATAACAAAATATGAAGCTACTATGAAAAAGTGGTAACTTTGTCTTATTTTCCTCCTGCCTTTTTTCCCACTTGCTCCACTAGAGTGGAGTTTTAACAGTTAAACTAGGTGGAGATTTAGGAACCTATGTGATCAACAAGCAGACCCCAAACAAGCAAATCTGGTTGTCTTCTCCATCCAGGTATGTTCAGAAGTCAATCTATTCTGAAAAAATTGATATGACATTGTATCCCATTTAAGAAATGTTACTTCGTATATTAGTATCTGTACAAGTGAACCTTTCCTGGTGTTTTACACTCTCACTAGGAAAGCTGACACTGTTTATGTAACTCCCCTGGTGATAGTGTTGTGGTTTTTCGAGTCTGTGGGTTTGGAGTGCGGGGTCCTTGGGTTCACTCTGGGAAAGGTTTCACCAGAGCTTCCGTATCAGCAACATGTGGCGAGTTTCCCTGGCGATTTTCTCCACAAGAGAGAGACTTAAAGGGCAGGTTTATTAGGGAAGGGATAAAACAGTTAAAGACACTTAGATATACACAATTGGACAGGAAGAGCTGTCCCAGAAGGGACAGGTTTGCTAAGAGAGGCCTGCATGGTGGCAGGCAGGTGACCTTGACAGGTCATGGGCAGGCAGAAAGGCTGCTGCCCTGCAGAGGGAGAGAATTGGTGAAAAGAGGCACCTGCATAGTCACAGGTGGACAGTGGGCGTGCTGCCCCGAGCCTGTGCAGAGACTACACTGATATAGTCTTCTTCTGTTTGGGAGGGCTCACTCCTTGTGAGTCGTCAGTTGGTTGCTAATTTTGGAGAACTATGTAGAATTTGAAAGGGACCAGAGATTCTACAGTGGGCTCAGTCTCCATATCTTTACCTTTGGGGTCTGTTGGGCTCAATCGCCTTAATATTTCGACCAGGCCTCGGGATACTAGTATACTAGTGTCTAACATACTAGTTTCCTCTCTTCTGCCCCCACCTACTTGTGTGAGCCAGGTTTCTGGTCTTGTGGCACATCCTTGTTTAGTTTTTTTTTCTATTCTTGTACTCCATCAATAGTTTCACTGCTGTATGCAGACAGATAACACGATATGAACAAGATTCAAAGTGAAAAGTTGATAACTTTTCAAAACTAGGCCTAGAGCATTTTTTTCTCTATCAAATCATCGCCCTGCCTTATAAAAAGCTACTTTTGATATTGCAGCATCTGACAAACTGTACTTTGTCTTCAAAGCAAGTTAAAGTTTAACCTCTAGTTTGTTTTGAGCACCTCAGCAAAGGGCTGATTGAATTCCTTTTGCAGAACTGGACTGTGCTCTTTGTGGGGCTGGGGAGCATTTTAAGCGGCTACTCCAGACATTTAATCCCTCCTGCCTTTTCCATTGATGTGCTTTCCATCTAGTGGAAGAAAAGATTGTGTTGGGGCCACCTGCCCTGCAACTCCAGGCCTGAGAACAAGCAGGAAGAGAGCTTGTGGCTGCTGTTGAAGTGGTTGTTAGAAAGTAAAAGAGAATCATGCACCAAAAGCTTCCAGACCAGTCTTCCTGGGTCATTCATTAGCATTTCCAAAGAGAACATATTGACTGTGACTTGGGAAAAGCCCAAATATAACAAGCCTGCAATTCTTTGAAAGCCTAATGGTGTTTGCATTTAAAAAAAAAAAAAAAAAGGGCCTCCCCGGTGGCGCAACAGTAGAGCGCTGGGTTGTGAAGCTGCCCGTTGCCTCTGCGGCACCGGTTCAATCCCCGCTGCTCCCCGGCCACCGGAGGAGGGTCCCACATGGCGCGCAGACCTCTCCTGCCGCCCGCTGCTCCCCTCAGCAGTGTACTTCGGTCCTTCTGCCTGCTCTGCTCCCCGCTCTGGCTCTGGTGAATTCTCTCACCCTCCTGAGCTTCTGACTGTACCCAGTGCATGTATAAACAAAACAAACAAACAAGCAAACAAATAAAGAAAAACATGCCTCTATTTAAAAAAAAAAACCTCCTCTCCTGCCCCAACATTGTCATCATTTTTAGGCAGTTAATATTACACTGTTTATCTTACTGTGAGATATAATTCTTTTTTCAAAATAAATAAAGCCCAGTGCCTCCCTCCTCCCAACCCCATCTAGGAAGTTAGTCGTAATTCAGCAAAAACAACTGCAGAAATCATGTCCTTTCTAGCAGTCTTCTTCCAGAGATTATACTGCTTTTTACACTTTAGATGACTTAAGTGGGGGGCCTTTACCCTTTGTGGACCTGTTATCTATCCTGTTATCCTGTTCTCTTTGGCCTCTGTCTTACTAACCCTGTCGGTGGCTTGAGGAGAGCTGTACATTCTCATCCTTCATGTCCAGAGACCGGATGAACCAGCTCAAATGGAGCTATTAGCTTGGGAGATAGTGGCTTTCAAAATAGTAGGCAAGGCGCCAGAACCAGCTATTGGCGATGATGTAGTTTTTGGAATTGATGGGTTTGGAGAGCGGGGTCCTTGGGTTCACTCTGGGAAAGGTTTCACCAGAGCTCCCCTTTCAGCATGTGGCAAGTTTCTCAGCCCACCGGTGACTAGGCAGGTGCTCCTTTCTGCCAACTCTCTGTCCCTCTGCAGGGCAGCAGCCTTCCTGCCTGCCCGTGACCTGTACCATGCCAGGCTTCTCCTCACTGACCTCCCTCAGTGGAGGCTGCTCTCCTGCAACCATGCAGGCCTCTCTCTTAGCAATCCTGACCTTTCAGAGCAGCCCTCTCTGCCCGTTTGTGTCTATGCAAGTGTCCTTTATTCTTCTGTCTTTTTCCCTAATAAATCTGCTCTTTTAAATATAACTAATGTCTCTGTCTTGTGGAGAAACTGGCCTGGGAAACTCATTGCATGCCACTGATAGGGGAGCTCTGGTGAAACCTTTCCCAGAGTGAACCCAATGACCCCATTCTCCAAACCCATCAACTCCAAAAACTACATCAGCTCCACTGAAAGAATTTCCTCTGTATTGTTACTGGAAAATGAAAACGTCCATATCATATTGGACACACCTACCAGCAATATGACCTACCACAGGCATATTTAGAAACATATGCTACTAGAGAAGACCAAATTCCTAGGAACTCCAAGTTGTGCTTTTTTATTTTTTTTTTAAAGATTTATTTTATTTATATAAGAACCAGGATACAGGCCAGATGCGCGGGAATGTGAGAGGAGTCACCAGAGACAGAGCAGGGAACAGAACAGGCAGACTGACGAAATACACTGCTGAGGGGAGCAGTCTGCTCATCATATGGGTTGCTCTGAGGCTGGCGTGGATCGAACTGACACTGCAGAGGCTGCGGACAGCTTCACAGCACGGTGCTCAACCACCTGCGCCACCATGGAGGCCCCTTACTTTTTTATTTTTTTTAAGATTGATTGATTGATTGATTGATTTATACGAGCACTGGGTACAGTCAAATGTGGTGCTACCAAGAAACTGACAAAAGAGAAACTCTAGAGAGTAATAACGAGGCACATATTTTTTTTCTTTGGGTCTTTCTATTTAAGACGAATGACTAGTGTATCCTCTGGAACAATTCAGGGGATAATGCTTGAGATCTGAAAACGTGTGAACCCCCAGGATGAATCCCCAGGTGTCAGATTCTGATCTTTTGCTTTTCCTAACTCACCGATGACAAACTATGTCCAACGGTGTTTTTGAATTTTGGCCATTCATACACCATTGATATGACTTATCCCTTAGTTGTCATCACATCATTTTAGTGCATTCATAATGTACAGCCACTACCTCGAACTAGTTCCAAAGCATGTTCATCACCGCCCCCCAAAAACCCACCCCTGTATCCACTAAGCAGTCACTCTCTATTCCCTCCTATCCTCAGTCCCACCAGACTATTTTTTATTATTAAATTTTTATTTATTTTTGCATAGAAGAACTGGGGTGTAGGCCAGAAATGCCGGGTGGGGGCGGGGTGAGAGGATTTACCAGAGACAGAGTGGGGAACAGAACAGGCAGATCTACTGAAATACACTAAGGAGAGCAGCAGATGAGACATGAGAGTCTGCTGCGCCATGTGGGTTAGCTCCCTGGCGGGGAATCGAACTCAGGTCTTCTCAGGGATAGCACTGAGACTTAACCCCTAGGCCACCAGAGAGGCCCCAGACTGTTATTTTTAAGAGTACTTTTCTTAAAGGGCTGTGCTCGTAAACTTACTGTTTATTTGTATTATCTCCTAGTGGGCCCAAGCGGTATGACTGGACCGGGAGAAACTGGGTGTACTCCCATGACGGGATGTCCCTCCATGAGCTGCTGGCCAAGGAACTGACTGAAGTCTTAAAGACGAAATTGGACTTATCTTCCCTGGCCTATTCTGGGAAAGGCACTTGATATGCAGCCCATTCTAAAGACATTAACAGCTCTCTAGTGAAGACCCTGGCTTCCTTCTTCATCTGAGCATCCAATTTTTCCCAACCCTGCTTTTGAGGACAGTTGCATCATGTGTGGCAGCTCTGTGAAAAGACTGTGTCACCTCCCACCCTACCCCTGAGTTCAGATTTGTTATTTCCATAGATATTTTGGATTTATGGTCTGCTTTGCTACCTCACGGGATATCCCTATCTCTGATGATGTTCACTCATGCCTTTATTTATTATCTTACAACAAAAAAATAAGAGGAAAAATTCTGGAAGAAATTAATTTGGTTCAACATTCATTCTTGGAAGAACTTAACCACAAAAGCTACATGGCCAACCTCACCAATCTGTCTCAAAACAGCTTATTAAAGGGTGGCCAGTAGATGCTCCTGTGCCTCAAAACATGTAAACACTTCTAGCCCTTAACTATTGAAGTTCACCAACGATCTGGGAATTCTCAAGCCTAAGACTATTCCCCCTCTGTACTTTGTGTCTGCCAGCTGTGGCTGCACAGGGTAACTCAGAGAGAAGTGTGTGTGTGTCCCATACACACATACATATACAAACACACAGTTAAATATGCGTGTGTGGATTTTTTGTTTGTTTAATCTAAGGGTCAGTTTAGAACCAACTGCTATAGCACAGGTCTGAGAATGCAAAAAATTTCCCAATGACCAAGGGAGAAAAGCCATCTTCATAAGCTCATAGATACAGTATCACAAACAAGGTAATGGAGCTGAAAAAGTGCTTTGTATAATGGAAAGAGGTTTGTGTTAATGAAAAGAACCCTGGTCCTACACTTGGCTCAGCCCAAAAGTAGTTGTCTGTCTCTAGGTAAGATTCACAAATTCCTGAACCTCTTTCTCCACATGTTTTGTTTTGAAATATTTTTATTTATTTATGCATACAAGAACTGGGGTACAGGCCAAAGGTGCAGGGAGTGAGAGGATTCACCAGACATAGAGTGAGGAGCAGAACAGGAAGATCTACTGAAATACACTGCTGAGGGGAGCAGGGGGCGAGACAGGAAAGGTCTGCTGCCCCATGTGGGTTAGCTCCCTGGCTGGGGACTGAATTCATTGCCACAGTGGCTGGTGATAGCTTGATAGCACTAAGACTTTAACCCCTGAGCCACCGGGGAGGCCCTCTTTCTCCACATGTTAAATGAGGTTGAACAGGATAAAATAGATTCCCAATTCAGGCATTATTCAGTGTTCCTTTCAGGCAACTCAACAGGTTAGCTTTATTTCCCTGAGGCAGATAATGGGATGATAATGAATAATTTTTTAAAGTTATATGGTAAATACATGGTTATTGATATTGTTCTGCTTGAATTCAGGTTCAAACAATAACCATCCTTAATGTGCCCTTACCATATTTAGCCTGTACTACAAACTGAGTGTTTCCCCTGACATTCACAAAGATGGCAGTCTTAAAAGGTGGGGCCTTGGAGAGGGGATTAGGTCATGAGGACAGAGGCCTAGAGAATGGTATTAATGCTCTTATAAAAAGACCCCCAAAGAATTCCCTCAACCCTTTCACCATGTGAGGACAAGCCACCTATTAATCAGAAAGCAGACCTTCTTCACCAGAGACTAAATCTGGAGGCTTGATCTTGATCTTCCAGACTCTTCCAGAATGTGAGAAATAAAGTTCTGTTTTCAAGCCACCCAGTCTATGGTGTTTTGTTATAGCAGCCTGAGTGGACTAAGATCCCCTGCCACTTCCCAGGACCTCATTTCAATCTTTACTGACTCACTTTACAGGGGAAGAAAGCTAAGGGATGTTCAAACTCACCCAAAGTTATGCTCCTGTTCTTTTGTTTACTCCAACAAGAAAGATTTATTAGTGACAATTCTATGCAAATGTGGAGCAAAGACTTTGGCAGTGGGTAAACCAAAAACACATTCCATTATTTTTAAAAAAGGTCTTAACAATAGAACAATATAAACACATGCTAAAAGGGTATTTGAAATGTTTCCTTTCTTCAGAAATAAAAATATTTTTTCCTCTGATGGAAATTTTTAAGTATAGTAGGTCAGAATCAGGGGGAAAACAAAATGTGTGTGTGTCTCAATTTTTTTTTTAAATATTTAAAAAAAAGTGTGTGTGTGTGTCTCAATTTTTTTTTTAAATATTTTATTTTATATAGTTCTTACATCAATTTTCATTTTTGCACAATGTATGCATTTTCATTTTGGTTATGTTCCCCATACAATTGCACACCCCCTTATTTTGACCCTAATCCTTCCTCTCCCTGCTCCTTCCCCACCCCCCACAGTGTGTCTCTGGTCCATAATTGCTTGTTGATTTTGATTTTTACTTTGTATTAATTAGTCTTTTTCCTGGTCCCTTATTTAGGTTTTCTAAATTCCTGCTATGCTTGAGACCATCAATGTGTGTGTCTAAATTCTGATGAAAGTTTCAGAAAAATGCTGTAAACATTCAGTATAACATGTTAAAAGAGGCAAAAAAAAATAGTGTAATGTAATTTTTAAAAGCCTTCTATTAGGTTTAGCTTCTTGAATGGACACACTATTCAGAATGACTTACATCTCTGAAGATATACAGAAGCACTGGGGTGTGTTAAATAGAAACTGAGTTTTTAATCATAATTTTAAAAATTTAAACTTCCCACTTGTTTATTGACAATTGCTCAGTTTTTTGAAACAGCTAACCCCTGGCGCAATACACTCAATACAAATCATTTCAACACAAGAGCAACTTAATTTCATAAAAAATATTTTCAAGATGTTCTCTACTCAACCTTGAATTTAGTTAAAATAAATGCTCATTTCATTTACCTTGGTGATAGATTCTGATTCCCTAGGACAATTTTTCTTATCACCTGCAAGTCTTGATTTTTGTTTTTAAAGATTTACTTATTTATGCATACAAGAACTGGGGTACAGGCCAGCGGTGCAGGGGGTGAAAGGATTCACCAGAGACAGAGTAGGGAGCAGAACAGCAAGATCTACTGAAATACGCTGCTGAGGGGAGTGGCAGGCAAGTCAGGAAAGGTCTGCTGCGCCATGTGGTAGCTCCCTGGCCAGGAATCAAACTCATGCTTCAGTGGCTGTGGATAGCTTCATAGGTTGCGTCTTAACCCCTTGTGCCACCAGGGAGGCCCACCTATAAGTCTTAATGAACACTTTACCCCTTCTGCATATCTCCTAAAAATAATTTGACCAACTTTAAGTTTGATAGTTTGTATTAAGTAAGAGCTTTACAATATGTTTCTCAAACTACACCTGCCCCCAAATCCTAAGTAACCCCACTGCTACTGTTAGGGGGGAAAAGGATGTCCTAAAGCTAATTCCATACAGGTTTTGTGGACTTCACCCCCACCCCAGGCCAAAGCCAAAAGTCACTGAGAACTCCAAATCCCATCCCCACCAAAGGGAAGGTGGCTGGGACCTGAGGGTGGGGTTAAGCAGCCAGTTGTGGTATAAAGCCAGACAGGTGGGCTTTGGAGGGGATCCCCCATTTTGGCTCTCTGCCAGCTCGAAGCATTCAGCCAGCTCTGAGAGTGCCTTTGGGTTTCCAGGTCGGCAAATCGGGTAGGACGCATTAAAGACTTTATTTCCCTATTTTCTCCCTGAGTTGTACATTTCCTTATTTCCTTTTCCCTTGTAAATAAACCTTTTATTAACCTTTTGTGTGTGCCTGTAGTGGAGTATTAATAAGTCCCTTTTAAGCACGCGCTTGAGCACCCACAGCCAGGCAACCCGTTTTATTTTATATCGGGGTTGCCCTATAACACTACCTCTAAAGAAAGACCCAAGCTCATAAATGTTAAGTTTGTATGGATTGGCTAGGAAAGGTTGCCAAAGGAGAATAGCTTCTTTACCCTGAAGTACACACTAAGATTAAAGTTATTTTAGGTTGTGTCCAGTTGAATTCTTGGCATGGATTTATCTTCTGCAAATGAAAGCAGCTACATACCAGAGAAGGGAAGGAAAGGCAAGGTATGAAATATCATATAAACGTGTTCTGCTATTCAAAACTATTATTCATGACTGTCTTTCTGTTTATAGCTATTACTGGAATAAGAAATACTTTCAAATCTTTGGTTTAACTTAATTAGCCACAACATCCTAAGGATCCTAATTAATAGCCCCTTTGGCATATTTATGAGTGAACTAACCTGGTGGTGCAGGCGGTTGAACGCAGCACTGTGAAGCTGTCCACAGCCTCCACAGTGCGGGTTCCATCCTGTCTCACCCACTGCTCCCCTCAGCAGTGTATTTCGTCAATCTGCCTATTCTGTTCTCTGCTCTGTCTCTGGTGACTCCTCTCACCTTCCCGCACATCTGGCCTGTACCCTGGTTCTTGTATGCATGAATAAATAAATCTAAAAAAAAAAAAGTAAACTCACCTGCATCTTGCTGTCTGCTATAGAAATAATCAGAGTTTGTGTCTATCTTCCTTAATGTATAATTTAAGATATAGAATGTTGCACATCTCAGCAAACTGGGTATAGAAGGCATGTTAACTCAGCATAATAAAGACAACATGTGTCAAAAACACAGCTAACATCATAGTCAACAATGAAATGTTAAGAGCTTTTCTTCTAAGACAAGGAACAAGACAAGGGTGCCTACTCTAGTCACTTTTATTCAACAGAGAGAAAGTAATCCTTTTTTGAGGGGATTTATTTATTTATGAATACAAGAGCTGGGGTACAGGACAGAGGTGTGGGGGGGTGAGAGAATTCACTAGATTCAGAGCGGGGAACAGAACAGGCAGATTGACCAAAGTACACTGCTGAGGGGAGCATGGACAAGTCAGGAGAGGTCTGCTGTGCCATGTGGGTTGCTCCCTGGCTGGCTGGGGGATCAAACTTGTGCTGCAGAGGCTGCGGACCGCTTCATAGGTTGCATCTTAACCCCTTGTGCCACCAGGGAGGCCTCCCTTTTTAAAAAAAAAGATTTATTTATACAAGAACAGGGGTACAGGCCAGAGGCATGGGAGGATGAGAGAATTCACCAGAGACAAAGTGGGGAGCAGAACAGGCAGATGAACCAAAGACACTGCTGAGGGGAGCAGCAGGCGAGACAGGACAGGTCAGCCATGCCATGTGGGTAGCTCCCCATCCGTTTAGGAATCAAACCGGTGCTGCAGAGTCTGTGGACAGCTTCACAGCACCATGCTCAAACTGCTGCACCACTGGGGAGGCCCGGAGAGAGTAATCTTAATGAAGGCTAGGTCTCTTCAAGATGTCCAGAACAGGCCTTCCAAGACGCATCACCTTAGCAAGTGAATTTCTTCAACCTAATGTCAATTGAGGACCTGCAAACTTTTGCCCTTACCATGAAGATTAATAGTATTATAGTATTATAAAGATTTGGGTGGGCCTCCCTGGTGGTGCAAGGGGTTAAGCAGAGCACTTTGAAGCTATCCGCTGCCTCTGCAGCACGAGTTCGATCCCCAGCCAGGCAGGGAGCTACCCACATGGCACAGCAGACCTCTGTCTCACCTGCTGCTCCCCTCAGCAGTGTATTTCAGTAGATCTGCCTGATCTGTTACCCATTCTGTCTCTAGTGAATCCTCTCAACCGCCCCCACACACACACCTCTAGCCTGTACTCCAGTTCTTGTATACATAAATAAATAAATCTTAAAAAAAAAAAAAGATTTAGGGTTACAGCCAGAAATAATCTCTATATTGGAGAAACATATTAATGTGACAGGGCAAACATCTATCAGAGGATATGATTTTGTCACATAAGTCACACTCTTCTCTCCTATAAGCTCCCACACCATCCCTTAATTCCAGACAAAAAGGGTTGTTTAGCCTTGTTTAGGATTTATAGCCATTAGATTCTTTATCCATATGTAGTTTAATTTGTTCATTTCTCCTGCTAATCTAATATTTATTCGATTATTGAACCAACATGAGAAAGACCCCATCATATAAAACTTCAAAGATGCCACCAAAAAAAAATAGAAACAATAAATGAGTACAGCACATACAGTAAAGTGGCAAGGTTTTAAAAATTAAATTAAAAATGGACAAACTCTCAAGAGACTTTCCTCCATAGAGGATAAACATATGGCAAACAGACACACAGAAAAAGGCTCATTTTCATCTCTTATTAGGTAAATACAAATCAAAACCACATGACCTACCTATCAGCTCACACTTGTGAGTGATTTATATTTTAAAAAAAAATGGAAACAAGTGTTGGCAAGGGTGTGGGTAAGAAGAAATCCTTGTACATTGTTGGTGGGAACATAAATGGACACAATCATTTTGGAAAACAGTTTGGACCTTCCTCAAAAATGTAAAAGTACAGCTACCATACAACCCAGCAATCCCAATTCTGAAGCGTATGAAATCATTAACTCAAAGAGTTATATGCACTGCAATGTTTATTGTAGCATTATTTAGACTAGCTAAGATATGGAAACAACCTAACTGTTTGTTGATAGATGACTGAGTAAAATGTGGCATATATACATGATGAAATATTACTATACTATTTTTTAAAATAGATGAAATTCTGCCATTTGCAGCAAAATGCAAAGAATTTGAGGGCATTCTAGAGTAAAATAAGTTAGGAGAAAAACATATTAGATGATTTTTTTCCTGTATGTGCAATATAAGGAAACAAAGTAGATAAGTGATAAAAACAAAATAAAAATAAGCTAGTGGACTTCTAAAACCAGGCAAAAGTGAAGTGTACCCAGGAACCTCAAACTGTTAAGTGAAGAAAACCCACTTTGTCTATTCTAAGGGTCTGGCCACCCTTTGTACAAGACAAAGAAAGCAGATTCCGGAGCCTCCCTGGTGGCACTAGGAGTTAAGACGCAGCAGTATGAAGCTGTCCTCAGCGACTGCAGCAGGAGTTCAATCCCTGGACAGGGAGGTGACCCACATGGCGCAGCAGACCTCTCCTGTCTTGCCCGCTGCTCCCCTCAGCAGTGTATTTCAGTCGGTCTGCCTGTTCTGTTCCCCACTCTGTCTCTGGTGAATCCTCTCACCCCTGACACCTCTGGCCTGTACCCCAGTTCTTATATGCATAAATAAATATTAAAATAAGAAAGAAACAAAGCAGATTCCTAGTGTGCTCAAAG